ATCTTCCAAACCATGCTCGAGGGGACTACTTCAAAGCATATAAGGATTTCTTCAACCTGTAAACCTTTCTTTTGTATTTATCTGGAGCATTACATCCTGCTGTAAGGGCCAATTAAGATTTGCAGCCAAAGACAACAAAACACGGACCGTGTTGATTTTGGCCACAGGAGCAAAAATATCCGTATAATCGATTCCATACTTTTGAGTGTACCCTTTTGCTACTAGTCGTGCCTTGAAGCGATTCACTATCTTATTGGCTTTATACTTCACAGTACAAACCCATTTACATCCCACAGGTTTCTTGCTAGCTGACAAGTTTGTGATCTCCCAGGTAGCATTCTTCTTCAAAGACTTCAATTCTTCATTCATTGCTGCTTGCCAACGTGGATCAGCTAAAGCCTCCTGCACATTGTTAGGAATAGATATAGTCGATAATTGATGCACAAACGACTTGTTTGATTCTGACAGGTAACTTGTAGGCACATAATTGCTTAATGGGTATAACATATTAGGCTCAGGGTTGGGTTTATTCACTGAATATCTAGTATTGCATTTAAGGTCAGCTTCGTAAGTAAGTTTAAGAATACCTCGAGTGACACGGTTAGGGAGACAACGTGGTAATGGTGCATCCGGGATCAAAGATGATTGGTTATGGTCATTAGGGCTCAATAGTGGCAATTGACTGTGATATAGCATGCGGCAATGAATTGTCCGGTGGTAAGGAAGGTAATGAGTTGTTTGGTTGCGTCAGCTCGTCCCTTACAAAACTTTCAACATTGTTTTCATGTGAATGGTCATCACTTGTCTCTAAGACATTACCACTTAATTCCACATCATTCACATCAATATTTCCATGTGAATGATCACCACTTGTCTCCAAAACATTACCACTTAATTCCACATCATTCACAATAACTGTACCCGGAATTGTATAATCAAGAGTTTGAACTTCTATTTGATTCTCCCCCTAAAGTGAAGACTCGGGACAGGCAATGTACAACTCATGCTTATGAAATGCAACATCGATAGTAATAAACAGCTTTTTTGTTGAAGGATGATAACATCGATATCCTTTTTGACTGGAGGCATATCCAACAAACATACACCGTAAGGCCCTAAGTTCTAGCTTACTCTTCTGCTATTTATGGAGATGAACAAAGGCCACACAGCCAAACACGTGAGGTGGAAGATTAAGGATTGTAGGAGCATCAACATGTGAAGAGAGAACCTGAAATGGTGTTTGAAAATCAACTGATTGAGATGGAACACGATTAATAAGATACGCAGGTGAAGTGAGAGATTCTCCCTAATAGGATAACGGGAGACACGTCTCAAGCAAGGAAGCACGAACAACCTCTAGAAGTTGACGGTTCTTACGTTATGCAACTCCATTTTGCTGTGGAGTATATGGGCATGTAGTTTGATAAACAATACCATGATGATCAAGAAAGGCACAAAGTTCAGAGTTCACATACTCACCACCATTATCATTCTTGAGAACCTGTATTTGTGACTTGTACTGTACTTGCACCATTTTGTGAAATCGTTGAAACAAAGAAGAAACTTCGCTTTTGGACTTCATTAAACAAACTTAAGTCATACGTGTGCAATCATTAATAAAAGTAACGAGCCAATGAGCACCACCAAATGTAGCAGCTTTAGAGGGCCCTTACACATCAGAATGAATTATCATAAATGGAACTGAACTTTTACTCAAATTGGACGGAAACGAAGTACGATGACTTTTAGCCAATTCACAAACACCACATTTAAAGCTAGAAACATCGTTATGAATAAATAAGCCAAGAAACAACCTTCGTAGATAACCGAAAGAAGTATGTCCAAGTTGATGATGCCACAACTAAACATCTGAAGCTTTCTTCTTCTCCCCGTGAGATCCGTCCACGGCAAGAGCTTGAATCAACATTTGGGTACTATTCGATATCAGTTCTAAGTAGTAGAGCTTTCCCTTCCTAATATCATAACCAATCATCTTGCGAGTCCGAATGTCCTTAAAAACACAAAAGGAAGACCAAAAAATCACAAGGCAATGTAGGACGACAATTATTTAAGCAACAGATAATAAATTATAGTCAAAAGAAAGAACAACAAGTATGGAATCAAGATTAAGGGTATCAGAAAGAGAGATAGCACATTCCCCAATGATGGGGGCAATATTACCATTAGCAACACTCACGTTAGTTTTGGTGGATGGGTTTAGTGTTTGTACCTATCTAGAATCACAAATCATATGTTCAGTAGCACCAGAATAAATTATCCATATATTATTCGGAACAGATACAGAAACCTTTAAAGCTTTACCATCATTACTTATATGATCAGAATCTACCTTAACTTCGGAAATCAATGCACACAACTCATTACAGTGGGGATGACGAGTCCAGGGTGTCATTGCTCCGCGTGAGTTGAGTGCAACATCTAAGGTGATTGATAAGGCCAAGATTCCAAACCAACTAGGTTAAACAATGTGAGACCCTGAAAAAACAAATAGTAACACCAAATAAAAAAAATAAACTATTTTTTTTTTTCGTTTCTTTTGTCCTTTTTTTTTCTTTTTTCTTTTTTTTCTTTTCTTTTCTCTTTCCTTACTCCTGGGACTTCCTTCAAAGCATAGCAAATCAGGACAATTGTGAGGACTTCCTTCCTGGGACTTCCTTCGAAGCATAGCAAAGCAGGACAATTATGAGGACTTCCTTTAAAGCACGGCAAAGCAAGAAAAATTGCAAACAGAACAAATGAGGCGTGACTGGAACATATCAGGGTGGGTGTGTGAGTGATAGTGGTGGTTCTCAATCGGGATTTGCAGCGGGAATTTCTGGGTTTTGGACCTCGGTTTGTGGCCGCGTAATGCAACAACGGGTAATGGTGAGTGGTTGCAACAATTGGCTCGGTGAACTCGGATTAGCAATGACGGCGTCGCTCACTGATTTGGGTGGATGCATGAATGAACTCGAGTCAGCAATGATGACATCGCTCGCTGATCTAACGGTGCGCTGCACAATTGGCTGCACAACTAGTTGTTCTAGGTTTTGCGCACAACGCAATTTCTATATATTTTTTTGTATTAGCTTAGGCTTTGATACCAAGAAGAGAATGCTTTTGGAATAGTATTGTGTGTCTATTCATCTCTCAAGGAGGAATTTATAGGATGTTACGATCATATCAAAAAGGAAAGAAATAATTACATGAAATCATACTATGCTAAGAATCTCAAGATTATAGGAATATACACAAAAGTCAACAGCTTGTTGTCAAGGAAAAGTGATAGAGAGGGAGAAGTTGAGGTTTTGGTGGTGAAGGGAAGGGATGAAGGTCGGGGAGGTGAAGAGGGAAGAGAGGGAGAAGGTGGGGGAAAGATGGGTTCTAAGTTGTTGTTTTTTTTTTAAATTAATTATTTTTAAATGAATAAAAATTATTTTTTTTGTCATGTGGCACAAATTTGGCAGCCACGTGGCACAATTGTAGCAGCCACATCAGTTCTTAACGGATCAATAGATGGAAAATGTATGTGTTATATTGAAATAAAATAGTACTTGAGGTATGAAATTGAAATGTTTTAAAAATGTTGTAAAAAATTGAAATTGACCCCAAACTTGTGTTGGTAAAGTGTAATTTACCCAAAAAAAAATGAAAGAATAAGATTGTTTTAATTTCGTAGTTGTTTATATTATTAAGGAAGTTTTTCGATTTTTTTTTTTTAGAATTAATTATGTTAGTTGTAGTACTATACTTTTGCCTTGTATTTGAAATAATTTAATAAATTAAATAATTATTTTATTTTCAAAACATAAAAAAAATATTTGTGAATAGTGAAAAAGGGTGAAGCTGGATAAAGGTAAGTATTATTCTAAGACCTTGGGAGAAAAGAATCTGAATTGTTTGCCCATCCCATACCCTTTCCATCCATTTTTATTTCTGTGGTTACGGTTAAGTCACATCAATATATTATATTTCTATTACTTTTTGTCTTATTATTTCTATAAAAAAATCAATATAAAATGTTGACGTGACTTAACTCTGACCACAGAATATAGGAGGGGATGGGAAGGGTACGGGATGGGAAGAGCAGACAATCCAGATCCCCATCCCATTCCCTTCTCATCCCTTCTTATATTCTGTGGTTACAGTTAAGCCACGTCAACATTTTATATTAATTTTTTAATAGAAATAATAAGACAAAAAACAATAAGAATATAAAATATTGACGTGGCTTAATCGTGATCATAGAAATAAGAGGGGATTTGAAGGGTAACAAAGTGAGTGTACAGTGCGATGTGAACATACGCATGAAGCCTGACCCTGGCCCGGGCGAGTACTGACACTAGTATAGCACATGATGAGCAGAACTTAATCCCGTTAATGAATAGTAAGTGACTGCAATGATGAGTAACTGTCCAAGTGCATCTCAACTCATAAACTGAATAGTTAAGACAATTGGTATTAGAATATTAGTATTTTTTTTTATTTTATAAAATAATAAAATATAATTTTATTTTTAATTTCGGATAATAATAAAGATTGGTTTAAAGTATTTGAAAGTATGGGATAAGGAAGGTAGACAATCCAGGTCTATGAGATGGAAAGGATAGACAATCCAGGTTCGGGAGAAAATGCATCTCATCCTCAACCCAAATTGCACCCCTTCTTTGTAAAACAGTAAAAGATATTTTGTCTTTCAAAATTAGGGCAGATTGTTGGACTAAATTTAGCTATCAAGAATTTTCTTAGAAAACAAAAGGTTCAAGGTTGAAGAAATCGGCAACTGCCAACTGGTGGTTCAGCTTCCCCCATCTATTTAACACCCCCAGCCGTTAGCGGTTGGTGGAGACCGCCACACTTGCCACCACCTTTGCCCTCCATTCAAATAAATAATTACTACTCGAAAGCAACACAGCACCAAAGCCGCAAATGCCCGTAAAACGCAAGGGCAATGTCGTCATTTCGTCCAACCGGGGCCATCATAAAATGCTTCCGTTCAAAATCCACGAAACAAAAATTCCAAAGACCGAAAACCGGAAAGCTGAAATCGATTTGGGGATTTCACTTCAGCCTTTTGTCCTCCCTCTCTTCTCTCTTTTGCCTGAGGAGGTGTTCAAGCACCTCTTCGGATTCGTTTGATTTTCTCTCTGGGTTTTGATTTGCCTCTCCAATGGCGTCCGAAATCTTCAACGACAAGACCGCTGTTTTCAGAAAACTGAAAGCCAAGGCAGAAAACAAGGTGGGTTTTCTTTAGTTTCATTTTTCCTTTTATTTTTTACTTTTTTGTTTTTTTTTTTTTGGTTGTGTTTTTGGATAAAAATTATATGGGTTTTTGATTTTTGTGAAAAATTCGATATGGGTTTGTGAGATCTGATTCAGATCTGTGATTTCTTCGCTTAGATCTTTTATTTGTTTTTTTTCTATTTATTTTTTGTGTGTATGTGGTTCAGATGTGTTTCGATTGTAATGCGAAGAACCCGACCTGGGCATCGGTTACATATGGGATCTTTCTCTGCATCGATTGCTCCGCCGTTCATCGTAGTCTCGGCGTTCACATCAGCTTTGTTAGGTATATTTCTTATAGCACTAACGGATTCTTTATTCTCTCAGTCTTCGATTCTTCAAGTTTTCTGTGTTGGCTTTGAGTACATATATTGTATGTATTTATGTATAAGTATGGTGAAGGGGTTGATGTATCCTGAATTTTGGGGATCCAAGCAATGGTTTGTCTTATTAATTTGATCGAATTGAATTTGGTGATACGATGGACATTTGATCGAATTGAATTGAGGGTGTGGCATAGGACAGAAGTGCACGAGATCTTGCTTTATTATAGAACCATGAACTGTTACATACAAACAAACAAATACGAGGGATCCGTTAGTTTTGTGTAATTCAGAATGCAGTTGTTGTCGTTCTAAATTTTTTTTTGCAGTGACATGCTTTTGTTGATTGATACTTTCTGACTTACTTGGCCACGCTGCTTTTTTCGGACAATCTTTGCACTTGTTTCTTATTAGAAAGAGGAATTTTGGTTTAAAGAGGGGAGCCTTTTTACTTTTTCCCTGTATAGTTATTGTAAATTGCCAACTAGCTCTATTAATGAATGAGGCCTTAATAAGTTATAACAAAAGGTAAGCTTTATGTTTTAACCTCAAAAGCCTCCATTTGGATTTTTGATGTATTTTCTAGTCAATGGCCAATGGATTGATGGTCGCAGCTGTCCATTCGCAAATCTTGCCGAGTTTAGTGTTTTGTAGTATACAATGCGGCCTCTTGTTGTTAAGGCCGGAGGAATCTTCCTCTTGTTTGAGGATGTCAGAGCTTCCTAGTATTTTGTTTGTTTGGGATAAAGGCAGCCAGCCCAACAAATACAGAGGCAAATCTTCCATATTCCAAACTTAGCCGTGTTTAGAATAAAAATACAGTAGCATCATGGGTGGATCTGATAATTTGATTTCAGATTTCATTTCAATCAAATTGTTAAAATTTTATTTCCCCATTTAGTGTGATTCTAACTTTCTAAGTTTACAAGAAAGTTACTTTTTAATTTATATTTTGTCTTCACAATGGAAAGTACAAGTGAAAGATTGTTTATTTTTCAAAAACTTGATGTTGAATTGAATTTGAAGTCAGATATTCAAATTTAAACAACACTGTATTTGTTAATGTATGATTTTGAAATTCTTATGGCCAACAAATAACTGCAAAAGCAACAACGACGACAATGACAACAGTTTTACATTTGTTTCTATTGGTATAGATCTACAAATTTAGACTCATGGACTCCTGAACAGCTGAGAACGATGAGCTTTGGAGGAAACAACCGTGCACAAGTTTTCTTTAAGCAGCATGGATGGACGGATGGAGGCAAAATTGAGGCTAAGTACACATCAAGAGCTGCCGAGTTGTATAGGCATATACTTACCAAAGAAGTTGCCAAAAGTATGGCAGAAGAGGCAGGTCTTCCATCATCTCCTGTTGCATCTCAGTCAGGACAAGCATCTAATGGGCTTCCTGATGTCAAGACCCATGAAGCTCCAAAAGAGAACTCTATAGCAAGGAAAGAAACACCTGAAATCGCTGCTTCCCCGAAAGCCCCTCATACGTATGTTACCAGTACTGTTAAGAAGCCTCTTGGTGGTGCTAAGAAAACTGGGAAGACCGGGGGGCTTGGTGCTCGCAAACTTACTACAAAGGTTGTGATTGCTTATTCAAAATTGGGGTAGATTATTCATCAGATGTAGTATCTTTGGATTCGGTTTCTTATTTGATTATATGTTTAACCAAAATGCATTTATCCTAACTTTATCAAATGCAGCCAAGTGAAAGCCTGTACGATCAGAAACCTGAAGAGCCAGTTGCCCCAGTTCCAGTGCCTTCCTCAACTAACAGCACTCCAACAGCTGGATCATCCTTTGCATCTCGATTTGAGTATGTAGAAATTGTCCAAAATACTGAGACAAATCCCACTGGTGCTCATGTGATTAGCCATATTGCTCCACCAAAGTCATCAAATTTCTTTTCGGATTTTGGAATGGACAATAGTTTCCCCAAGAGAACTAGTTCAAATAGCTCAAAAGTTCAAGTAAGTTATTTATGACCTATGACTTTAACATATAAAGTAGTTTCCACGAGAACTAGTTCAAATATGTCACGACTGAAGTAACTGTTTCTGTTTCCGTGTCGCTTATGATTATCATATAAAGTTCCTGACATGCCTTCAATTGTGGATTTAACAAATGCAATTAAAAAAAAATGTTATGTGCCCAATTCTCTAGATACATGTTTCACTTATCAGACCAGGAGCAACGAGTTGACATGATTTAGAAGTATAAGGTTGATGAATCGAAGAGAACCATACCGTTTAAACTTTTCCTATCATCTTTTTAAGGAAAGAGACGGGCACTATATTACTAGGGAAGAGAAAAAATCATCAGATACAAAACTAGTCTATCGTATTCTAGAATTCTAATACAAAGTAAGAATTGATTGCAAGACAAATAGGCAGATTATGATGTTTAAAAAGGTGAATGAGATTATTTTCTGTGTTACTTGAGTCATTTTAAATGGTTTGTAGATTTTTCATCCATTCCCTTTCTATGTTGTTATTAAGTGCAAACCATATGCCTGAAATGGTAAGGCCTTGTTTTATTAAATGGTGCCTCCAGAGTAAAATTGTTATGACAGTTGGAATGTACAATCCTCCCATAATACCAATCACTCCTGCCTAACCTGGCTCCAGCCATATAATTTTCAGAGGTGGAAATAAAGTTTGCCTTGTGAGATTGTAGTAACTACAAACCTATTTAGGAAAACTTAGCACTTAAATATTCTTCAGAAGAATGTTTACTGCTGGTGATTTCCTCAATCTAAAATTTTTGAGTCTTATAGTGTTCACACTTTTGGATATGTTTGCATTTGGCTTTTTGCACTTGGATATTGATTACTGGAGAGACCTATAAGAAGAGACTTGTGACATGTTAAGACTTATTTTATGTCATGTTTCAGCACACTCTGAAAACCAGTTTTCGTTTCTGTTCCTTTTCTTCTTTTGTTAAATATTCAGGTTTTATTTTTTTCAGATTCAGGAAACTGATGAAGCAAGAAAGAAATTCACAAATGCAAAATCTATCTCTTCCGCACAATTTTTTGGTGACCAGAACAGATCTGCTGATGTTGATGCTCAAGCCTCCTTGCAGAAGTTCTCGGTGTGTGTCATTACCATTATAATACCATGTTCATGTTCATGTGCTTCTTTTGAATTATTGTACCATGTCTTTGGTCTTTTACTTTCTGGTTGAAGTTTTGTCAGGTTACCACTATCGTTCAGCTAGACCTCATATTGGCAAATTATATTTATCCTAAACCATGTTTTTTCTGTTTTAATAAAATAAAATCTTAAAAGGAACCATTTTTAGTATAAACTTGTGATCTTTATATTTCACGATCAATCAACAGTACTGAGTTACTATTTTACTGACAATTGTTTTTATTAGTTATTTTCTTCAAAACATATGGTTCAATTAAAGTTCCTACAAATCTTATACGTATTTTCTTGTTCTGGACATGAAATTTGGGGGTGCTTGAATATAAAACTTTCATGTGAAACTTTAGCATTGAAGGCCAATACCAATTGCCAATATATTTGATATGCCGAGATAGAGAGAAATCTTAGAGAATGAATTTAGCTGTTGATAACACAATTGTCTTTCTACTTCCAGGGTTCTGCTGCCATCTCCAGTGCTGATCTATTTGGTGACAGGGGAGATCCAGCTATTGATCTTAATGCAAGCGACCTAATCAACCGACTGTCTTTTCAGGTATGTCTGGCAGTGGCAGGCAATAAATTTGCCCGTCATTTTTGTGTGATGTATGCCTATCATCTTTTGGCCTGTGTCTCACCAAAAGTTAATCTCCGTTTGCTTTTCTTTTTCCATTCTGAGTTTTGGTTACTAATTTGGGTTTAATTGCTGTGATGCTTTCCAGGCACAACAGGATATCTCTTCCTTAAAGAATATTGCTGGAGAGACGGGGAAGAAGCTTAGCTCCTTGGCATCCAATTTAATGACGGATCTTCAGGACAGAATCCTGTGATGTTGATATGCTTTCTGTTCATTTGTTAAAGTAAGTACACCAGCCAATATCATATGTAGGGGTTGTAAAGAGAGTTGATAAAATTCTTCCAAAGACCAGTAAGACTTATCGATAAAGTTCTTAAAAAGACCAGTAAGACTTACAAAAATTTTCGGGGCTTAAGAGTGGCGGGTGTTTTATTTTGTAGCACAGGAATTATTATTGTTCTGAGATTGTGGATTATATGTGCTCGTGTTTTTGTAAAACCACCATAACATTACTGCTTTGTGCCAAGGGAGCAAGGCCTGTATTCTGTTGAAACTGTGGATTCTGTCCCTGCCCAATTTTAATTCAATCTTTTATAAGTGAACTTGCAAGAAATATATCGTTGAAGGCTAAGTAATCGAAGGGAAGATGTGTTGCTTGAATAACAGGGTTGACGTTAAGAACCGTAATTTGGGTCGGGTCAAGTTGCTTGATGTAGTTGTCCTTTGTCAAGTACCTGCCTTTTCCGGAGGATGATTTTCTCACTTCCTAATCTCTCTCCTCTTCCTTTCCCTCCTACTTGAACAATTACGATTAAGTTACGTTAACATCTTAAATTGCATAACGTGTTCCTTGTAGACCTGCAGTAATTGTGGCCTCTCGATCCAAGTGAATTGATGTGCTTTGATGGTACAACGTACAATTTGTGTTTTGGTAGTTGTTATTAGTTACATGTCCTAGTTTTAGAACCTCAAAAATATTTTTGTTAAAAACACTTTCAATCATTTTAAAAGAGCTTCAAAACGAGCCATTAAGTCATTTCCAACCAAGCCGACCATAGGGTTATAGGTCAAAACATAGTCCGTTTGAACACAAAACCCATCTCCAATGGAGGGTTGGGCAAAACAAATTTGGGACCCACCATGCCAAAATATAGCCAAATGGCTAGAGGGCTGGCCAAACATAGCCAGCCAGCGACCTCTAAAAGTTGGGCTCAGCTATGTTGCTAGCTGATGTCATATAGCTTTTTTTATTTATTTTTTAAGACAAAATTAAAAAAAAAAAATTCTAACTATAAATACCTTAGCCAATTCTACATCATTTCTCACGCCCTTTTCTTCTTTCTATACTATCTTATCTCATTTTAATGTCTAAGTTGTTAACATGCAAGTAAAATTAAAATATTTAATAACGTGAAAATTAAAACGACATTTAACGACAAGTGGCCCTCAAAATATGTCCGGAAACCTTATTTTAATATGGTAGTTTAATTCAATTAATCGATAAAATTAAAAAACAAACTTGAAATAATAAATTATTGAGGGGGCTAAAAATATAGCCCCCTTCGGTTGGAGATTGTATATAGATATGATCTGCCATTGTTCATTATAAAATAATTTTTTGCAAGGCTATAATATGAGCGGAGGCTAAACGTAGCCCTTTCGATTGGAGATGACTTTAGTGTCAAAAGGCTGAGACCGATGAAGGAGAAGAAGCCCAAATAAATTCATGCTCAGCTAGAGGAGAACTAATAAGCAAAACTTTAGAAACAATGTGAAGAAGTTGAGGTTCAACCATAATTCAATTAACAATATGAAAAATAGTCTAATTACTTATAAACACATTCAATGTCTATTTTTTTTCTCGATGTTGAGATTCAACTCTCAACACAATGTCATTTGGGAGAACAATGCAATTTATTATGAATTATTTTTCATTTGGGAGAACAATGCAATTTATTATGAATTATTTTTAATCTTACATAAATAATAAAAAAAATTTGACATGTAAACATATATGACAGTGTGGATTATTTGTGCAAGTTGGCGTAACATTAACTCTTACTAACTCTTTTAAAGGAACTGTTATTAGCACTGAAAAAATCTCATTCTACACTCCTTATAAGTGTATTTTTCTTTCTAATTATCGAAGGTTTGGAGTGCAAAATAAAAATTTTTAGAATACCAATAACAATTTTTTTTTGTAAAATGAAAATTCTACACTCCTTAATACAAGATGGCTAACACATCGTGTGTGTGCAAGAAGGCAAAAATCCCCAACTCTCTTGCTCGTGGAAAGGCAAAAACGTAGTTCTCTCTCGTTGCTGCCGACTCTAATCCCAGGGTTGAGGTCAGCGTCAACTCTAACTTTTCCTGTTCCTTCTAGCCTTATATCATTACAGTCTTTATTTATCTTCTCTTATTAGCTTTGGTCCTTGTTTGGTGCCCTAAGCTTTTGTCTCAATTCTACGAGCTTGTCTTAGATCTGGGCTTTCTTGTCCTCGTTTACTCAATTGTTGTTTTATAGCATAAGTCTTCATCATAAACCTTCGTCAGTTAACTTATTGGGCATCTCTCTTCGACAGTGCCTTTTGATGTTGTGTGGTTTTGAAGTGCTTTTAACACTATTTGGTAGAATTATATGACTACTCACTATGTAGGTGGCTCGTTCACCCCCATTTTTCGTTAATCCAATCGTTTTGTTTGTTCGTTCTCTTACTAGGGGTGGCTTTGTGATGGAGGCGCAGTTGACTTTAGTGGAAGCAGCTAGTTTCTTCTCTAAGTTTTAGGATTTTTAATTATTATTATTTTTTTTAATATTTGCGTAGTTGGAAGAAAAGTGGTGGAGAAGCTCAAGTCTTTCACTCTTTCCCACTCTGGCCAAATTTGGCCCCAAAATTGAGTTTTCCCTCCTTTTCCCAAACCCTAATTTTTTTTTTCAACCACTTTTTAACTTTTTCCCTCTCCTTCCCAACCGACTCCTCAAATTCCAAACCCCCCAAAAATATGAAAATCCAAAACCTCTCAAAAAATTAAAAAGCCAAATCCCCATTTCCCTCCTAATTTGTGGAGCCAAAACCCAAATTCCAATTTCACACTCAATTTTCATTTCTCTGTAAATCCCATCCCTTCATCTCTTCGGAGTCCCGAATCGAAATCCATTTCTCAGAAACCAAGCACCCAACTGGGAACTCCATCTCCTCCAGCTTCAATGGCAGAAGTCCTCGATGGGTCTCCGCCATTTTCGCAGTCTGACGCCATGGACGACCTTGCTTTGGTTTGTATGCCAGAAAAGGCAGATGGGTTTTGGCCGTCTTCGACTCTGAAACCCCTAGGCGACCAATCTTTGGATTCTTCTTTACCAAACCCTAGCGGGTCTTCACCAATTTTTGAACAAGTACGAGAAGAAGAAGCTGAACCTTCTCCACCGCCTTCGCCTCTCAATCTTGTTGGTAATAATTTATCAATTTATGAATTGAATTCTTCCGATTCTTCACGATTTTCTTCTTCTTGGTATTCTCCGTGGAATTCATGGTCTTCTGCCAAGGGATCGCCGATTTCCTTGGAATCACAGTTTCATAAGGAAGAAACCAAGCTCTCTATGGTGGTATGTTATTATTTTCAATGCTTCTTTCATTATTTCTTTGTTTTTTTTTTTTTTTTTTGGTTTAATTTTGATTTGAGTAATCTTGGGATGTTGAGATTTGTTGTGGTTTTGGTGTTGCAGAGTGCAGGGCTTGCAAATCTAGGTAACACTTGCTTTATGAATGCGATTCTGCAATGCTTTACGCACACTGTGCCGCTCTTGGAGGGTCTTCGTTCTTCCAATCATTTGATGCCGTGTGATCGTAAGACCTTAGTTTCTATTTGTAGTTTTTCCATATTATCATTTATTAATTTATCTCAATTGTTGGTTTATGGAGATTTCTTATTCAATTTTACTGATTTAAATCTGAAATTGGGAGTATTTAGGTGGTAGTGAAAGATTCTGCGTTCTTTGTGCTCTTCGTGACCACATTGATCTTTCAATAGCTTCTTCAGGAAAAGTTGTTTCGCCATGGAAACTTGTTGACAATTTGAATCGTATCCTTTCGTTCATATGAATTTATATTTATGTGCAAAAACAACTTTGGCTTTTTATTTGTAAAATTTTGATTTTTCATTGCACCAATTTTTGTAGAGTTTGTAATATTACTTGTAGATTTGAAAATGAGTTTTTGCCGAGAATTTTACATTGGAATGTGATTCTTAACCCCCATGCTACTAGACATCTCATCTTACTTCCAAAGATACCAGCAAGAAGATGCCCATGAGTTCTTGCAATGTTTTTTAGATAAACTTGAGAGATCTTCCATGGGTTCTATGAAAAAGGACGAGAGTTCATCTGTGCAAGATAAAAACCTTGTGGAAAAGGTTTTTGGTGGTCGTCTCGTAAGCAAAGTATGACTAGATCTGGCAGCCATTGTTTTTCCTGTTATGGTTAAAATTTGATTGGAAACCTGGAAAATTAATCTTTAATTTATATTTGTTGATTTTTATATGTATGAATTGCTTTCAGCTCCGATGTTGCAATTGCGGTCATTGTTCTGACACATACGAACCTCTGATTGATCTGAGTCTGGAGATTGAAGAAGCAGACACTCTTCCAAGGGCCTTGGAGTCCTTCACTAAGATAGAAAATATCAATGACTCGGAGACAAAGTTTACATGTGAGAAGTGCATGGAAAAAGTGTCAGTGGAGAAGCAGCTTGTTGTTGACCAGGCCCCTCAAGTTGCTGCATTTCACCTGAAGAGATTTAAGACCGACGGATCTAATGTTCAGAAGATTGAAAAACATGTAGAATTTCCTTTGGAGTTGGACTTGAAGCCCTACACTGGTGGCAGTGACATCGATGTGAGTTGCTGTTTATTAGTTTATGTACAATACTGCTGATTACCTCATTAGCCAACTTGAGATCAGTTACGAGAAATGTAGGGTTTGTTAATACATGATAATGATCAGATGATCTTACAAAAAAGGTCTGCTGAATGTTATGTCACCCGTTAGGTATGTTTAATTGTGTGTTGTCTCTCAAGCCCTTGGGGTGGGCTCGTTTGGTGAGAAAGGTAGGGGTAATGGGTTAGGATTAGGGTACATCAAGGGTTTCAATCTCTTTTAATGTACCAAAATGAAAAAATGGATGTTTTTCTCAAATTCTAAGTCCCCGTTTCTTTTCAATAGGTGGAATTGAAGTACGAACTTTATGCAATTGTGGAGCATGTTGGGTTCTCATCTACTTCTGGGCATTACTTTTGCTTCATTCGGTCCTCTCCAGATACATGGCATAGGTTGGATGACTCAAGGGTAAATATTCCCTGTATAAATTCTGTAGTATTCACGGTAACTGTTTTACCTCCGCAGCTTTATAATTCTTGTGAATCTGGTGTGTGTGTGTGTGTGGAAGTGGTTGGGTTGCCATTCATGTCTTTTATTTGTTTTCATATTAATGATCTTTTTGGCCTGAACCGTGTGTTGGTTTTGCTATAATCTGTTAGGAACTTCTGACCTTTGTTCTTGCTATATGTTTATACGTGGTAATTCTTTTTTAAGGTTCATTGTACCTCTTTTGGCATAATTTCCCTTGAGGTTTTCCTTACCACATAGATGAATTTGATGATCTGTGGTAGTATAGTTGGATTATTTAACCCTCAACCGTTATTTATTTTAAATATTAATTTTCTTGTTTAAAGGACTTATTTCTTGTGGTAATTTTTTTTGTTAGACCAAAAGAAAACAAAAATAAACATTAAAAGGTCCATTCTATGTCCTCTTTACAGGTCACTAGGGTACGAGAAGAATTTGTTCTATCACAGGAGGCATACATTCTGTTCTATGCAAGGAAGGGTACTCCCTGGTTTTTGAGTGTAGTGGAAGCACTAAAGCCATGCTTGAATCCAGCTGTTATCAGTACATCACCTAAGTCAGTTCTAGAGAATGTTGAGAGCACCAATAATTTATCCCCGAGTGTGAATTGTGTTGATCGTTATGCTACCAATGAACCCAGAGATGCTTGTGAGACGGTTACTCTTTCGTTGCATCAAGTGAGACCTAAAGAGGTTGACGTCTCTGACACTAGAGCTGAAGCTAGTGAACTTTCTGAACGGATTAATGGACCTAGGCGTGATGCTGGTTGTTCCCAGGAGACTACAGATACTGGTGCTGCCATTGATTCTTCAACTCCAGGTGGGGGAAAAAACAATTTTGATAAAACGTTGGGCAACGCTGAGAATATATGTAGTACATCAACTCCCGTTGCAAATAGCTGCCACAAAAGGTCTGCTAAAGTTATTCTCCAACCTATGACGCCACCCAGATCTCCAAGTCTGGATTTGGTTTTTGAGTCTCCAGGTAAGCAAATTCAATCTGATCAGAAAAATTTATTGGCTTTCTCATGAATTTTATAAATGCAACCAACTTAATGAGTGTGAATGGAATTTTTGCAGAACCAAGTTTTCATCTTCCATGCGATCATGCGAAGTCAGCGGACAATGTGACCTGTAAAAGATCATTGAACAATGCTATTCGAAAGGATCATTTGAAGTCAGCAGACAATGCATTGTGTAAAAGAGCATCGAACAATGTTGTAGATGATGCAGAGAGAACTGAAGCTGTCAGATATCTTTCAAAGAAAAGTCTGACTAAGGGCAGGGCAAGCCAACTCCTAGCGGCCATGGTAGGACCTCAGAATGGAAGTTCATTGGACAAGAAAAGGAAGAGAGCGGGATCTTCGCCGTGCAAAAAGGTCAGCCGTGCTGGTGGCAGCCTTAAAACCAACCACACTATGCGTCCTGTGGCAGCTGCATTACGCTGAGTGTCAGTTTTCACGTTGCAGAGTTGCTTTGATCGATCATTTGCCTTCAAAGCTTTCTCCAGTTAGACAACAATTGTAAAGACGAGTTTGTTCAAAATTTCTATAGGCAGGGAATTAAGCCAAACAGAAGGATCCGAGAAGTGCCTTACAGAAGCCAACGCGTCGGCTGCAAAATTATCCTCTTATTACTTTCACATTACCGCAACTTTCAACATGTGGTCGTGTTTGGTAACGAAAGAAGCAAAAGGTAAGTCTTTTGAGTGTAGCTCAAGGGGTTGCGGGTTTGTTGTCCCAGATTCAGTGTTTCATTTGTCCTTTGTCTAATATTTTGATAGTTGTTTATGAACTTAACTTTTAATTTAATAGTGTTATCTTTTTTAAAGGCGAATATAACAAATAAATAAAAATTAAAGAAAAACAAAAGGAGCCGAAGTGTCCACCTACTCGATAGCCACCCACCAAACCACGCACAACCTTGTCGGCGGCCATTTCCTTGCAATTTTTGTTACTACATCCGAGTCTGGGAGCATACAAAATCAACTACGAAATCCAAATCAACACACAATACTCTTGAAGGAATTGAAATCTTGGGCTTTCTTTGGTTTTTAAGGAACCGTGGCTATCCTCAAATTCTAGAAAGAACCTAGAAACCCATAAAATGAATTGTGGCTATTCTAATTCCAGAAGAAATGAATTGTGGCTGTCGTCAAATTCCAGAAAGAACCTAGAAAAAATGAATTGTGGCCATCCTCAATTCCAAAATACCAAAAAAAATTGTTGATGGCTAGATCGATCAGATAAGGCTTTTTGCAACAACATTGCTTCTTATGGCTGCGGAGATATGGGTTAGGTGATTTCAATTATTGGCCGCGAGATGCTATTAGTTTATTTTTTTATTTTTTTTGAAAAAGTTAACAATGTTGAATCGGTAATCATAAGCTGGTGGTCAAGAGGTAAATGGTGGATTTCGAGGCTTCATTCAAACTAAAAACTGGAGGTCTTCGGGTTCAAAACCCGCTGGTGTGGAAGCCAGACTTGTACCCAGGGGAAGGCTGAAGGGGTGAATAACCGTAGCTTGTCACCAGTTGTCTCCTATTTTATTATTATTATTATTATTATTATTATTATTATTATTATTATTATTATTATTTAAACAATGTTAAATTGGTGTTAAGTTGAAGCACAATTGTCACAAATTAGAAAGTACTGGAGACACTAGTTTAAAGAGTGCATTCTATTCCAGGTGCAAAATATTGTAAAGTACCCTCGATTAGGAAATTACAGGAACGTCAAAGATAAAACTAATTTGAACGACATGGCATAATCACAATCGCTGGGTTTATATGGACGGCTAGGATTAGAAGACTAGTATAGTCTTGTAAGGAGAAAATTTGGCAGATGATCCCTAAATACTAACACATTTACAACAAAAATGGTTGTTCAGTGTATTAGCCGCTGAGGCGGGTGTTGATGTTCATCTTTGATTTACTTCAATAGTTTATCTTCTTTTTCTAATTTTTTATTTATAAAAATTGAGTTGTAAAGTATATTCTTTTTATAAATTTGGCTAAGCATGAATATCCAAAAAACCAAAAAAACATAATCACTTCACAAATTGTATAGCTTCACCACTCAAATTATATGGAGATATGTTTAAGGAGAATTAGTTTGCTGGTGAGCTTACAACTTTCTTGTTAATAGCTAAATAATATGGCCGTGGATTTAAGAATGAGCATCTTGATATATCTTAGGGAAAATCAAAACCTGAAATTGAATAATCCTATAATCCTTTGTCATGAATGGAGATTGCCACAAATCTTTGTTTATGTCAAAATACGTATCATAACTATGCCCATTCCTTGGTTTTAAAGCCCTTAATTTCGGGTTTTCCCTTGAAAACAAAGTTTGCTTACGTAGTTTTGGTTTTACCAAGCCCTAAGGTTTGGTTTTTTCCTTGAAAACAAAGTTTGATTAACTATTTAAGGAATATGAAGTTCCTGTATCTATTCCCTTTTGGGTACTCCATCTCTTTCTCCGGGCTGAGCATTTGCACAACAAGCTTGGCTTCGTAAAGTTCCCAAGGTAATTAGCAGGTGATTTGTGTATATAATTTGGTTGTTTTCTTCGAAAAAGGTGGTAAGAAGCAGAAACTAATGGGAAAATCTATTCTCAGCCGGAACAGGAAAGCAATGGACAAAGACATTATGAAGGAGTCATCGGAGTCGATGAACACTCCGAAACATGTACTCATCGTGATGGATGGCATGAAAGAGTTCACAACGGAGCCACTTGAATGGGTGCTCGAGAATATTGTAATCAACGCCGGTTCTACTGTCACTCTTCTTGGTGTCATGCCATGGCTTAACATTCCCCGTGAGTATATTTATTGTGTGCAAATTAGCTCTAAATGCGTAGCAGTTTTTAACGCAATTTCTAGCCAATTAAGTGCATGTATGCCTTTTCATTTGGAGAGAATATTTCGTAGTTATGATAGGGGGATCAGTCAGGATCGCATTTTAATTAATTAGACACGCATACCCTCAGTTGATGTGTTAATTAAATTAACAGTTGATTAGCATATGGAACTATATAGCTAGCTATAAGTAAACTAGATTTTGCCTCGTGTGAGATGGAATACTTGGGTGGTGGAAATCTGCAGTCTCTTCCAAGACATGGCTGGATGTTTGGCCGGTGGGATTAGAAGAACTATCATTTTTCAAAGAGAAAAATGAGTCGAGGAGTGACATAAAATATCTAAAGCTTCAGAAAGTCGTAGACCTTTGCAACAAATATGGGGTACGTATAACAATCAAGCCTATATGAACAGACGGTGCTATCATGTTGTATCATACTGAGTCTCCGTATACATATAATTGCTTGTGTATCGCATGTTCATGCAGGTTTTTCCACAGAAGAAAGTTATAATGGGTTATCCCTCACGCTCGCTGGTTGTTGAGCAAATTGCAACCCTTCACTCGACATGGGTAGTTTTCGACAGGTATATATGCAAGCATTAATTCAAAGATCTCGGATTTTGTTTATACTTCTTTAGCAAGTTATTTTGCAAATAATTGTTATTAGCATTTCAAAATAGTTAGCCTATAAGTCTGAATATACTGGCATACTAAACAATTGATGTATATTTGTATACCCTCACAAAATTATGCTGTTCCGTGTGACATTTTAATAGGATGTCTACAAATGCAGGCACCAGAAAAATGACAGAAAATTTTACGCTGGAAAACTTCCATGTAATATGGTAATGATGAATGAAGATGGGGAGGTTGACATGATTAGAGGCCGGTCGATGACAGAAACTATGGACAGTGCTCCTACTCCGCACATCCCGATTTCCGACCACTTAAAGGGAATTCTTAAGAAACAAGCACAAGATCAAGACCCTGAGGAAAAGGATCAAGATGGGAAGGACCTGAAATGATCACCTAGGCAGGCAGAAACTAATAGAGGATAGAGATGCAATAACTAATAACTTGGCCATGGTTTTTTTTACCTTTACTTTGTTCCACTTGAGAGTCAGGCCATCAAATTAATCACCTTTTGTTTGGAAAATGTACTTTGCCAAGATATTTTTCTGGTGGAATAAGAATTTGCTATCTCTATATGCTTCTTGTTGGATATCATATATACATGCTAATCTTCTAGGTTTGGGATACGTTTCTATTGAAACAAAAAGAAGAAAACAAAATCGAATTTTTACGCAAAGCAAACTCATTGACAAAATGGGGATGAAGAAAAGGTCGACAGAAAAACAAAATGTAATTTCCATTATCATGTATCTGTGAAAGCTTTTAAAGTATCATGGTCGTAATCTAGAATTCACATGAAAATGAATTTTGGCTCGTTGGATAATCGTTTTGCTTTTTATTTTTTACTTCTTAATAAGATAAATGTACAAGGAGGAGGGAGGAGGAAAAATAAAGACCGGTGGATGAAGAGATGAGGAATGGAGTGGAAAGACGTGAAGAGAAAGTAGGAAACAAAAATTAGAAAAGAAAACCTACAACAAAATTGCTTTTAATTTTGGGAACTTTAACGAAAAGTTTCTTGTACTGTTTACTTTAATGAAAAATCACATTTTAACACTAAAAAGTCAATCATGATACTATTTACTTTACTTTTTATTTTGTCTTTATTGTTAAAACTTAAAGTTTTCAAGCCATTTTTATTAGTTTTCCTTTTAATTTTTAGGTTTTTGGTTTCCACTGTGTACTCTTCTATGTACATTTTGTTTAGAGACTTAAGAGTTGTCCCTCATTGGGTAAAAAAAATCCTTCTGTATGGTTTAAATAACTTTGAGCTTCTATTTCTTAATGTTAATTAGTTTTATGATGGAACCTTAACTTTCTTATGTTATTGGAGCATGTTGGCTCACATGCATTGGCATGAATTCCTTTTTCTTAGGAGATTCTTAGAGAAGATTGAAGGTCATTCATTAAAGTGATAAGTTTGTGAAAACAAAGTAGCGCTTCAAGATGTAAAGACAGATTTCTTTCCTCATCTCTCTTCTTTTATTTTGACATGAATCAGGCGTTAAAGATTCGTTAGTCGGATTTTTCATTTGCACGCATGTTGTTGGACCAAAAAATTTTGTTTTTGATTCATCAACCAAACATAAATTCTAGAGATCTTTATTGAGAAGGATTAAATTGAAATTTTAACCACAATATAGATAGTACAAATAATATGGAAGATCAATATTCCTGGTCGATTATCAATTTGATCCAACTACAGAAGTCGATCTGTTCCATTTTTACAGTAGTTTAATAATAACCATCTTCTTAACCCGCGAAATTTATTTTTCATAATATTTTTGGCAAAAAGAGGTTTGATCCATAGTGCCTGAAGCAGTAACAAAGGCGTTTTCAAGGTGCATAGCCACCATGACCACCACCTTCACCACTCCCTGCACCACCTCCATAGCCAGCTCCACCACCGCCATGTGCACCTCCACCACCTCCACCACCACCAGAGCCGCCGCCACCTCCGCCACCAGCACCACCACCAGCACCACCATAGCCTCCACCAGCTCCGCTACCAGCCCCTCCACCTTTTCCATATCCAGCACCACCTGCGCCACCACCTCCACCACCACCACTACCACCACCTCCTCCTCCTCCATGGCCACCACCTGCTGCTGCTCCTCCTCCAGCACCATAACCACCTCCAGAACCACCTCCTTCACCACCCCCTACTCCAGAACCTACACCTCCTCCACCACCACCACCGCTACCACCACCGCCACCTCCACCATATCCAGCCCCATGTTCTCCTCCAGCACCATACCCTGCACCTCCTCCTTCACCAGCCCCACTTCCAAACCCAGCACCTCCAGCTGCAGCACCGCCGCCACCACCACTACCACCACCGCCTCCACCACCGTGTCCTCCCCCACCAGCAGTTCCGTAGCCAGCACCACCCCCTTCTCCACTACCGCCACCATATCCCCCTCCTACAGCATCAGTAGTAGACAGGGTGTGGGCTCCAAATTGTTCAGTAGTAAAAAGGGCTCTGGTGGCAGAACAAATTCCTAAACTTAACATCACAAGGAAAGCAACGCTAGCAATCTTTTGAGGAGGAGCCATGACTGGGACTGAGAGGTTACTGCCACTCGATCGAATCCCACAAGCTTATGCTTAGAACGCAGGGGAAGGAGGGTATTTATAGGAACGTCGAATGAGATGGGGTTTCAAAACCGCGTCCACTAAGGGAGAGCGTGAACGAAAGCACATGCAAATTAAGAAGAAAGGGGATTATGTGGGCACCCACATGCTCGATTAAATTTATGATGCACCCACTCAATCTACTATAATGTCACTCACTCACTCACTCACTCACTCACTCACTCAATCTTGTAGTGTGTTTACGCTGTCCTCCACATCTGTATATGCATCTGGCAGCGCCGCCGGCTGTGGACTCGATATTTCACATTATACACTAAGAATGTTAGGTTCCATTTGGTACCTGGTTGCAGGGATTAGATTGGATAACTTAAATTTATTTGAACCTGGTCAGGACGATTGGATTAGAATACTTACTGTGAAGTAAGAAATGAAGGCGGAGAGGAAAGATTTGTCAATGTAGAGTTAGGAGAGAGAAGTAAGAAGGTGTTGGTAACTTCTCATTTTGGTACTATTGGTTGCGGGGATTGGATTGGATAACGTAAAATTTTTTGTACGTGGTCATGAAGATTGGATTGGAATACTTATGTTGAAGTAAGAAATGAAAGTAGAGACAAAAGATTTTTCATTTTAGGGCTGGAAGAGATAAGTAAGATAGGTGTTGATAACTTCTATTTTTTTGTTGTTGAACAAACGATATTGTTTATACTAAGGGGGTGGGGGAGTAGACTAAGCCTCACAATGGGCTAGCAATAATGTGGTTCAAATTCGCCTTTGACGAGAATTGAACCTAAGACCTCTCACTTACAAATAAAGAAGAATACTACTAGACCGTAACAATAAGTGACGTTGATAACTTATATTGAATTCACTAAATTATCCAATCCTACTTATCCTAGCTGTGGGCACCAAAAACAGACCTTAATTTTTTTATATTAATTTGCAATATTATATTTCCTCAGACGCCTGCATTGTCATCATCTTCTTTACTAGCTAGCTATAGTGAAATTAGTTTGGTACATCCAATATTATTTGTAGGTTTTAATTATTATTATTATTATGATTATTATTATTATTTAAATATAACTGGCCAAAGCATTAAAGTTTTCTGCATAAACACATAAACACATGCATTTACTTGTTATCTTTTGATTATTATATTTCTTTATAATATGATATTAGCTAGTAAGTGATTAATGCAGACTCATTCTCCATTTTAATTTTTGAGGTGGAAGAGATGTCTGTTAAAAACTGAAAGCTATGGAAAGCTTTGCTCAACATGTGACGAAGGAAATTATGTGAAAAATTGCATACTATTCATTGAAATGAGTTTGACTTAAATAGAATTACAAATAACTAAATTGTAGAAAAAATAGCAACGACTATCCCATGACTAACAATCTCCTAATCAATTGGGATTCTCCTAAATAATGGGTAAAAGCAACTGGTTTCCTAATAAATAGGAATTTATTTAAAATAAAAAACAACTAAAAAACTTAACACCCGTTGTTAAACTGATTTCTATGAAAACAGTTTAGGGTTTAGACACCATCATAAAGGCTTCATCATTAAGCTCGTCAACTTCTACCATCACAAAACCTGCCAAGGCAGCCAACCTTTCTTGCTTAAGATGTTTAAATGAACACACTCCAAGTAAACCACGCAGCTTCTCAATGCATCCAACTTGAGTGGCTTGGTCATGATATCTGCAACTTGATCTTCACTTCGATAATAAACTAAATCAATGGTCCCTTCATTTGTAAGATCACGAAGGAAGTGGTATCTCACATCTATGTGTTTGCTTCTTCCATGTAGAACTGGATTTTTAGAGAGCTTGATTGCTGAACTGTTGTCACAATAGATTACTATAGGTTCATGTTGTTGAAAGTGTAACTCTTCAAGAATTCTTCTAAGCCATATAGCTTGACATGCAGATGTTGCTGCAGCTATAAACTCTGCTTCAGTTGTGGACAGAGTAACTAGCTGCTGCTTTCTTGATGACCATGACATAGCTCCTGAACTCATCATAAAAACACTACCAGAAGTACTTCTATCATCTAAGTCACCCGCATAATCACTATCAGTGAATCCAATAAGTCTTGAAACTTCTCCTTTCTTATAAAAGACTCCAAAATCACTTGTGCCTTGTAGATAGTGAAACACCTTTTTTGCAGCTTGAAAATGAAGATTTGTTGGAAATTCCATGTACCTGCTTAGGAGACTTACTGCACACATGACATCCGGCCTAGTGGCTGTTAAGTATATCAAGCTTCCAACCATTTGTTTGTCGTAGGTGCTATCCATTCTCTAGCCACCAAGATCCTTATGCAACTTCAAACCTAGTTCAATTGGAGTTTTGACCGAATTGCAATTCTGATAATTAAACCTTTCCAAAATTTCCTTTGCATACTTCTTTTGTGTAATGAAAATTCCTGCTGATGATTGCACCACTTGAATTCCAAGAAAATAATGCATCATTCCCAAATCAGCCATCTCGAATTCAGCCTTCATGGAATTTTTGAACTCTTGAAACATTGTGCCATCATTCCTTGTGCAAATAAGATCATCTACATATAAACATATAATTAAAAATTTAACTCCATCCTCAGACTTGACAAACAAAGTACGCTCATGTGGACATTTCTGGAATCCTGAGAAATAGGCATCTATACAATTGTACCAAGCTTTAGGCGCTTGTTTCAGTCCGTTCAAAGCCTTCTTCAATTTGTAAATTTTCTCCTCACGTCCTTGTTGCACATATCCAGAAGGAATGGGTAAAAGAAATCTCCTAATCAAATGGGATTCTCCTAAGGAATGGGTAAAAGCAACTGACTTCTTAATAAATAGGAATTTATTTAAAATATAAAACAACTAAAAAACTTAAAAATGTCAACGAAACTTAGTGATCAATAGTTCGACTAAACCTCGCAAGTCGATGAGTCACTTGATGTACTTTCTGATTTATTATTGGATGATAGTAATAATAGTTAATTTTGGTGTGGGACATACTAGTAGAAAAAACAGCTTGCGTGACGATATTTTACGCGATGAACAATATTTCGCCGTACAAGACGTACTTGCGTGACGAAAAGTACACTTCGTCGTGCGAAATAGAAAAGAAAGGAGAAAAAAATAATTTGCGTGACAAAGAGTTCCGTCGCGCAAGAACACTTCGCGCGACGAATAATCGCTTGCGTCGCGTAAAGTGAGCAAGGAAACACGGGATAATTTTGTTTGGCTCGAACAACTTGTGCAACGAAAAGGAGAATTTGTGCGACCAATAATTCATCACGCAAGTTCCTATCAGTTTTGACTATTTACTGCATGTGAATCCGAAGAATTAATACCGCATTTAATACAGGTGTTTGCGCGACAAAGGCTTCATTGCGCAAAGGTCCTAACCTACCTATAAATATTCGTTTCTGCTGTCCTAATTCTTCACAATTCTATTATCTTTATTTTTCAAAATTCAGTTCGTGCTAGGATGGTGGATAAGAACAAGGGTGAGAGTGTACGCGATGCCAACCCGCATGATTTAAGGGATCGTTTTGAGTTTGCGCATGTGATCGCTGTAGCCATGGGGAATAATTGTCCCACTGCTGACTAGCGTTCTTGGGAAGATGTGCCCGGGAATGTGAAGAAGGCTGTGATGGATCAAGTATTAGTAAGTATATTATTCTTGATGGATTAATAATTAAGTTTGTGAAATTTTTAGTTATATGTTGAAATTAATTATTTGCATATATGTGTAACAGTGTAAATATACTCTTAATGATGATATGAATGAACAGTTGATGAAGTTGATGAATAATGCGTTGGAGGGAGGTTACAATTGATGGCGTTATGAAGTCTTACGGGATGGACCAGGATCATCCAAATAGTAGTTTTAAATTTATGTTTTGTATGACAATATTTAAATTTAAGGTGTTTTTTTATATGTTATGTATTCGGACTTAATTATGTTTTATTTGGACTTATTAGGTTTCAATTCCTATTGGTTTTTTTTTTATTGAAACCTAATGTAAGCACCCTATCCTCGGTTTATATGTGTTTACAATCTTTAATGAATATCGTACTTATGCTGAAAATAATTGTATGGATTAAGTAATTAATTATATATAGACTAAATATTTAAGGCATTAATTATTTATAGAATAATATTTTAGGTATTAATTATTTATAGAATAAATATTTAAAGTATTAATTATTTTTAGAATAAATATTTAAGGTATTAAATATAATATCTTAAATATTTATTCTAAAAATAATTAATATTTTATTCGTCACTCAATATATTGAGTGACGATAACTTCGTCGCGTAAGGAATCTTTGCGCGATGAATATGTTTGTCGTGCAAAGGTGTCCTAGTGCTATATAAACACAGTTTCAGAGCCCTAATTTTCAAAAAAATTTTGTTTCAAAAACAATGGCATATTCTGGCAAAAAAAAAAAAAAAAAAAAAACTTGTAGTGCGAATAGAGAGGTATCGACGGAAGCAAGTGCCATACTTTGAAGGCAAAAATTTGGCTGAGGCGTACGCCGAATTTAAGTATGACATTGGGAATTTGGTGCGGAGGGATTGGTTTGCCGAGTTTGATTCTTGGAAAAAGGTCCCTGAGGAGTTGAAGAAGTCCATGCTGGGAGAATTATCGGTAAGTTTGTGGTAAATAATGAACAATTATTTTTGTTAAAATGTAATATTTTTTAAATTACTAATTTGTTGTTACTGGCATTAATGTAGGTTCATTGGGATGTTGATGAAACTGATGAGAAGTAACAAATTTATGTGGATGGGCTTTTCAAGCAGAGTTTTTGGTAGTGGAAGTTTGATGTGTTGCGGGCGGAGGATTGAAGTTGATGAGGGTTGTTTTTTTATTTTTTTAAATAAGATTTTGTGGACTTTATATTTCATTTAATGAATAAATATATGTTATGTGGATGAGTATTAATATTTGCATTAGTTATAATTTCTATTTGGGATAGTAAATTAGTTTTGTTAATTAATTTAATGTTTAATTAGGGTTGAGATAACAATTTACAATACATACAAATAAATAACAAAAATAGAAAAAAATTTAAAAAATATGCATTGTGCGACAATACATTCATGTGTTGAAAAGAATAAATTGTAAAGTAAAGGACATAAAATAAAAAAATGGTAAACTTGCGCAACAAATGCTTCTTTTTTCGTCACGCAAATGACACTTGCGCGACAAATACCATATTCGTCGCTCAATTGGTGTTTGCACAGCGAAGACGTTTTTTGTCGCACAAAATCGTTGGTCCAAAAGTGAACGTTTTAATCTAGATTCAGCCATGTGCAGAGGCAAACTGCAAGAAAAAATTACAAATTGTGCCTCTGCATTCATCCCTTCGATTTTGTTCAATCCGTCATCCATCATTTCCATTTTCTCTCAATTTCATCATCTAATACTCCCTCCATCTTCTTCTCTAGGTTGATCGAGCTATCTCGGTGTGTCTGGTAAGCGTTTTTTGTCGTTACGGTAAAAGTATTAATGTAAATTCATACTAACGCCATTAATTTCGTTGTCTATTGGGATATTGCGTGTGATTAGCGATTGGTGGAGAACGATTGAGAAGATATTTTCTTCGTTTTATTTTTTAAACATATAAAACTAATTAAATTATGTTGAACTTAGTTTGTTATGTTTATATTGTGTTGCGAAATTATATTTATCTTATGTTGTTAAATTTGTAAGTGACGTACAAATATGTGTTGTGATGTACAGAGTTAATTGAAATTAATTTCGTACTTGTTTTTTTATTTTTAGTAAAACTTAGTTTCCCGTTCAAGGATTAGTTAGATTTCGCGCATGGATACGAATGCGTGACTGTGGTCCAATTAATTCTTGAATTGTCCCATTATTTGGATAGTTTGTGAATGCATAATTATCACGTGTAGTTTATGGTTGAAGGATTAGGTTTCGATTGTGGAGATTTTGGTGTCATCTCTGTACGTTCTTTGGGTTGTACACCTGAAGAACTGTATTGAGATGCTGCCGAAATTCATCCACATCGAAATCTAATATGATGTAGCTGTAAATTACGTGACATGACTATGCATTCCCGAATGGGATAGGGCCCTTACCAGAGGCATAAGGTGACATTGTGATTATTGTATTGTTATTGTGGTTCCAAGAATTATGGACATGACGTGGATATAAAACTCGAATAGATGCGCGGACGAATACTTGGATGGAATCGAGGATTTTATTGACTTTGCACGTACACACAACCCTGGTGCAACTAGAATCCTGTGTCCTTGTAGGAGGTGTAACAACACGTTAAGGGAGACAATTGAAAATGTTCGATTTCATTTAGTAAGGAATGGAATGATTGAGACATATAATACTTGGAACCATCATGGGGAACAATTAGACAATACTTCATCTTCAAACGCCACAAGAGTGGATAATGTTGAACCTATTGTGGATCCTAATGAACAAGTCATGGATATTATAAATGATGCTTTTGCATTTACATCGACAAACACCAATCAAGAAGGGGAAGATGAAGTGCCTACACTAATGGACAATGCAGAGTTCGAACAATATGAAAAACTATTAAAAAATGCTAACCAAGAGTTAAACCTAGGGTGCGAGAGCTTTTCCGTTCTCACGGCCATTGTGGAACTAATGCATGGAAAAATAAAGTATCGTATGTCGAACTAGTGTTTTGATTACTTTTTGGGGGGTTTTCAAGAGAATGCTTCCGAAGGACAATTGTTTGCCGAAAAACCATATACACACATAAAAGGTGTTGAATGGTCTTGGATTGGGTTATGAAAAAATTTACGCTTGCTAAAACAATTGTATTTTATTCTACAATGAGAATAAACCATTGGATAAATGCCCTGTATGCAATGAGTCGAGGTTCAAAATGACATCTCAGAATAGAACAACTAAGATCCCACAAAAAGTTATGCGTTATCTGCCCTTGAAACCTAGGTTGCAGCGATTGTATATATCGACGCATACTGCCACAGACATGAGATGACATAAGGAAAAACGGGTAGATGACGATGTGATGCGGCATTCTCTACAGATGGGGCTGCATGGAAAGAGTTTGATCGAATGTTCCCCGAGTTTGCTGCTGATTCTCGTAACGTTAGATTGGGACTTGCCACTGACAGATTTAATCCGTTTGGGGTTTTAAACCAACACCACAGTACTTGGTCGATTTTCGTATTTTCATATAATTTGCCGCCATGGAAATGTATGAAAAAAGAATACATGATGATGACTTTATTGATAACTGAGGATCCTGGTAGGTCAATCGATGTA